AAACAATGGAAAAAAATATTGATCAAAGAGTTTGCATCAAATTTTGTGTTTCGAACGAATTTTCGTGTGCAGAATCGTTGCGAATGCTACAAAAGGCTTATGGGGAATCAGTTTTATCGAAAACTCAAGTTTATGAGTGGTACAAAGCCTTTCAGGACTGTCGTACGACCGTCGAAGACATGCCGCGTTCTGGACGACCTTCGACCTCTACCACCGACGAAAACATTGAAAAGGCAAAGGAAATCGTGTTCAAAAATCCTCATGTGAGTGTTAGAGAGATAGCACGAGAGCTAGGCATCGGTCGTGAGATGGCTCGTTTGATTTTGGTGGACAATTTGTGTATGCGACGTGTCAACGCTCGGCTTTTTCCGATTCACCTCAATTTGTTCCAAAAACACCATCGTGGACAGGTCTCGTTAGACATGCTTGATCGTGCCAATTCCGATCCAACTTTCATGGAACGCATCATAACGGGTGACGAGACATGGGTCTACGAGTACGACATGCAAACAAGCCAACAATCATCGGAATGGAGAGGAAAAGACGAGCCGAAACCGAAAAAACCACGCCAAAGTCGCTCGAAAATCAAGGCAATGCTGATTGTTTTCTTCGATATTCGTGGTGTGGTGCATCATGAATTCGTCCCTGAAGGACAAACAGTCAATAAAGCCTATTATTTGACTGTTTTAAGACGTTTGCGTGAAAATATCCGCCGTAAACGGCCTCAATTGTGGAAGGATAATTCATGGATTTTTCATGACGATAATGCTCCCTCGCACCGAGCCAACATTATCAACGATTTTAAGGCCAAACATTCAATAAATACCATCGAACAGCCCCCGTATTCACCTGATCTTGCACCGTGTGACTTTTTCCTGTTTCCCAAACTCAAATTACCACTCAGAGGAACGCGTTTTGAATCCATAGAAGACGTAAAACAGAATTCGCAGAGGAAACTCAAAGCCATACCGGAAAGCGCCTATAAAAAATGTTTTGATGATTGGAAGAAACGTTGGCATTTGTGTATCGCTTCTAATGGAGCATATTTTGAAGGAGATAAAATAAATATTGATGAAGATTAAGAATTTTGCGTTTTATTTAAAATTTCCGGAAACTTTTCGGTCACAATGTATGTGTAATATAAAAATAAATCATTTTTTTTTAATTTAAAAACTTAAGCATGCTCATTAAGTCAATAAAATTTTCAATTTGAAAACATTAAATAAAAAAATTAATATATCTGTTAAGTTTTTGGTTTTAAATTCTCCGTTTAATTTTGGCCATAAATGTGTGAAATTCGATCAAAATTCTAAAATAATATAATTTATTGGTCAAGTATTGTTAAGTCTCAATAATCATGTTTTGCTTGTCTTAAGTCCACTCAGTATTGCTTACTCCATCTTATGATCGAACAATGAACCTCGATAAATAGTCGTTTATAATAATTTAAGAACGAAGAAGAAGTATGTGTCTTCACAGAGCATAAAATAAAAATAAAACAACTCCATGAGGTCATAATAACGTAAGTTATTATAAAATATATATATATATATATGTAAGCAACATATAAATGACTTAAATTATGATACATAAGAGTCGTTGCTTAGTGTTTTAAATGTCTGAATTAAACTATTCAGATAATTCGCAATTCACGCACGACATTTTATCAATGTCTCGCAGATCGCAGATATATAATTCTACATAAAAATATAAATATTTATTCGCTCGTATAATATGACAGATACATTTGCATTTAAATTTCAATTGTGCAGTTACCTACCACGGAAAGCATAACATCTGAAGTTAAGTAATCTGGCTTACATCACTTAAATATTTAATATCATTTGATGCAAATCTTTTTCCATGGAACCGCCTTTTTAAATTTTGAAACAGGTAATAGTCACTGGAGGACAAATCTGGAGAATACGGTGGCTGAGGAGACAATTTGTACCGTAATTCATTTAACTTTGGCATAGTTTTCATTGACGTCTAAGTGGGTGCGTTATCCTGCAAAAATAAAATTTTTTTCTGTGACAAATGTGGTCATTTTTTTCTTGATTTACTCAATCAATTGAGTTCGTGGTCATTTGAGAGCACTATATATAGTGGATTTTTCAAATTTTTTTTTCATTAGTAACCTCGTTTGTACGCTCTTCATTAAAAACACTCGTAAAACCATGTTTAAATCTAGCTTTCCAATATTTTATTATTGTTGACGATGGTGTGAAGTTGTTGTAAACAGAAACCATTTCCAATATTTAAATTTTTCCATTTTATAAAAAATCACCCAAATCGAAACTTTTATAATTGTCGTTTTAAACTTGGTGGATACAGAAGATATAATTGATTTTGTTCTGACGTTGCCACCTGTTTTAAAGTCAACTAATTATCAACTCACCAAGTCTCTGAACAATAGGTGTACATCAATATTTTTGGTATTTTGTTTTTCCAAACAAAACTCTCGTTTGGATAGTACGTTCAGACATAAAAAGCTTACAGATGACATTTTAATTTAACATACATACATAGTTATATAATAATTATATATTAGAAAGCAAAGTTTTAGCACAGACTAAATGTTTAAATATAATAAATATGTTAATAAAACCAAGTTTTCTTTTAATTATAGCGGCCATCATCTGGACTTGAATTTCCATCATAATATAATGTAAGTTTTTCAAATATAATTATTTAAATATTTTTTCCATTATAAAAACAATGAATCAATTAATAGATATCAATAACACAGCTTAAAATTAAATTTACAGTACTTTTACTATATAGAAAAATCAGTAGTTGAACAGAAAAGAAAAGATCAGAAGGTATTATTGAACACTTAGTACAAATAACATATAACTCGGTTTTCGTATAAAGTACTTGTATTAGAAATAATCAGAATAGTTTTAACACATTAAAATCAGCACACTTCAAATGTTGCATCGACAATAAGCGCTGAGGTAATTAATAAGACCCGCCATATGTACTGCAAGAAAGTTTAGGGAACTCAATTCTCTAAAATCACACTATAGTCGTCTTAAATTTGCAACAATGCATTCTGAACTATTTTTTCTTTCTCTCTATCTCTAGAGCCGATATATATATATTTTGTATTTATTTTCAATAGCAAACTTTCGCAACCATGCAGTGTGGCAGGACTGCATCATCACAACAACGACATGTTGAGAGAGTAAGTTATAAAAACATAATACTTATATATGAATGATATATCTACTATTGTTCAATATTTTATTTTTAGATCGCAAGAGGGCGAGAAATGCGCAGGCAATCTGCTTCGATGGTAAGTAATTAAATACATTTTATCGAAAGTAAAAATACAGTGGTGGACAATAAATATTTCGTACTAGTATAAAAAAATTTAGTTTTAGTTTTTTAGTTATAATTAATTAAAATAATATAAAAATAATTTTTGTTGTTGTCGCTCATTACTGTTCGAAACTTCTCTATTAAATAGTAATATTATAATATTAATGTTATATTTATTATTATTATTATTATATTATTATTATTATATTATTATTATTATATTATTATTATTATATTATTATTATTATATTATTATTATTATATTATTATTATACTATTATTATTATATTATTATTATTATTATTATTATATTAT